AGCTTTTAGCCTGTCTTTCAAGATGACGTTTCCGTGAACGAAACGAGGTCCTATCGTTTCATTAGCACGCACCCTTGAACCAGTTGATCGGGTTTTCTGGAAGAGCGTTCTATTGTTCCCCATTTACGAAAGCCATCTGTCCTTCTCCAGGCCTTTTCTATCCGCCAGCGTTCCCCATCAATCCTTAGGCTCTTCATTATTCGGCGTTTGGGTACCCGCGCGTGTCATCTCAGTTGTTTTTAGCTGGTATAAGTTTCCTGACGTAACTCACAACTACTGGTCGTGATGAGATCCAATTTTCATTGGAGTGTGCGGGGTACCGCTAACAGGCGTTCCAAAATCCGTGTTTCTTGACGTTTATCTAGTCGTGATCCAAATTACTATTGTTCCCGTCGAGTTCTGAAGGCTGATCCGCCAGCTCAGCTCGATATTACTAAGTTACAGGAACGCTTTTCGAGTGTCGAACTGAATGACTTTTCATCAACCGACAATTCTAGAGGGTAAGCGAATGGACACACGCGCCTTCACAGTGGCGTGGTGGGAATCATTTGGTGTACTTCAAAATAAATGATAGTCTTGTATCAAAGCTATTCACCAGTAAGTGATTGCCACATACCATGACTGGTCTGCAGTTAGTGGTTTCTAAGTCACACGGATTGACGTCTTCTGCTGACAGCCTATGCTGGCTAAAATCAGATGCTGTTCAGCACGTAATTGGCGCGGTCACCGTCAACTCCATCCGGTCATGAAATTAGGCTTCTTGAGGAACTAGTCCGCCAACCTGAGATGGAAAAATGAAATCATTCAGCTGTAGCACCTTTTCGGTGTTGCACTGAGCTATCTCAGCCATCCTGAGCATTCAGTTCATGTCACCTGTCAGAATCGTGAAAGTAACCGTGACAAATCACCCTGAAAATGGCCTCTTTCAGCCTCAGAGCTGTTATTTGCTGCAGGGTATACTGGCAAAACAAAACATTGTTTACCATGTCAAGATGCATTGATCTTGAGTGGACCAGTCAACCTAACCGCACAAGGACGATTGTTCACTGGGATGCAGTCGAGTGAAGTGTTTTCGGCCTTGGCTCTGAATGCGGCTCCCACTCCATGACAGAAAAAATAAAAGAAATGTTCCACTGTAATGCCCTTTCGGTGCCTAGCTGCTATGTCAACCAAATTTCCCCCAGTCTAGGCCGGGGCAGTCGAGACGCTGAGGTTCAATCCAAACCACGGACCTTCCAGTCAGTGGTTCAGTACACCATGGATACCATGTGCCGTTGTGTCAAGACTACTGGATGCCCGAGTAGTGAAGTATGAGAAATCTGGGTTCTTTCTAAGCGGTTTGAAGGCTATGACCGAATTGGTGTCTTGTATGCATGTTTCGGGGACAGCATACATCAATGGAAGCAAAGAACAAGCTTTGACCGAGAGCTGCCTTCTGCCCAATTCGACACAGTGCGAATGTTGAAGGCAGCAATGTGCGACATATCCGTTGAATTTATTAAGGGTTTATTTCGATTTATTTGACAGGACGAAATCTCAGATAAGAATCAGCGGTTGTATAATTGACAACTAAATGAATCAGGAGTCCTTGATTGAGTACCTATAAGGGCGGATGATACTTCCTGGTTGTCCAGGCCGAACGACAGGGTTTGGTTAAGGCATCACGCGTTGAGCCTTTGATTCAAAAGTCTGAAGCGCGAAGCAAAGGTTGTGTGGGTTTTCCTTGGGGCTCCTTCCCGAAAAAAACGACTGAATAGTCTGACCTGCAGGGCTGTAGGGGGAGTGGAATTGTCCTATGACCCGAATGCGCATGGTCTAAAGCCTATCTGTGTGGTTACTAATGCGGCTACAAACAGCAGGTGCCTTTTTGATAGCATCAGACTGGTCTTATGAGTATAATCTTTCAGCTGTATCACCGTTCCGATACCTGATTGCCATTCCGGCCGACGGAAGCACAAGGGCTGGGATACCGCCAGGTTGCCCAAGCCTAGACAGGGGAAGTCCAGATGCAGAAGTCGGGTTCGAACCATGGACCTTCCGGTCAGTTAATTCGCGCTTTCACCAGTGGGCCATGTTGTCCCCTTTAGAAGTACTTTTACCGAATTGGGTGAGGCGCCGTTGGTCACGGTCAATCGTTGGTAATGGGAGTGCAATTTTTAGAATCGACCTTTTCTGACTTGTCCTTCTTCGAGAGAAGACAGATCTCTGCTCCCATGAATGTGGACATGGTTGCCTGAATGCAGCTTCTTGTTGCTTTCACACCTATAGCATAGGACAGTACGAGTTTAACCCCAGGCCACCTCGTAATGCGATTTATTGCGGTACAGGGACTAGCTGTTCTTCGTGTAGCTACTTCCGAATGACTTTTCTGGCATGGCTAAATCTTTAAGGACTAAGTTTCAGTCAATGTTGACTGCAAGATCACTTCAGCACTGAACCTCGACCACCGCGACTAGGTGACAGATTCAGGTCGAGTAACATCAACTAAAGATGTCAGATTCCAGTACTTCACTGTTCTGCCATCTGCAAGTTACCGATTATGGTTATGTCCGTAAGTGGATTCTCCTCAAAGGGATTTCATTTTGATAAGAATGGCTGTATCTGATCGTTCAACTCCTGCCTTCAGGGAACATGATACTTTGCTGGCGTCACGTTCATGGGCTTATTCACATTCTCCCAGATGCGTTTCCACCCTGAAGACAGATAACTTCTGAGAGTAACTCCAGTTCACCACCTCCGACAGTGAAGCCTGAATTAGAGTTAATCGCTTCGAAAAGACCAACTATATTGACATACCACGCGTGGCTTATCGTGATGTGAGGTTATCTTTTGGAAGTAACTTAACGATTGAAGTAAGCGTCAAGATACTGATAAAATGGCTTATTCTACAGCTTAATGATACGCTCAGTAGGGAAGTTAAAGCTGTACGTTCATTACAAGTGGAAATCATATCCTAAGATTCATAACCATTTGAGGAACAACCTTATCTTGATGCGATGCACAGAAACAATGTAGAAGTCCTATTCCACATCGAAACTGTGGCTCATAGAACAATGCCATGATTTATAAAGTAGCTATCTTTTTCCGTTTGTGCACAAGGGAGAGCAACCGCACCCCCCCCCCCCCAAAAAAAAAAGATTGGGNGGCTCTCCGAATGCTTTCTTGCCTGAAAGTGAATAGGTGAACTTGATAAGTAGAGCGTTTGGCTGCGGACGTGCCATCAGGACTCGAGAAAAAGATCAGTTTACTGGGTGTTGGATGATGTAGGAAATTGTTTGGTAAACTTCAAAGGTGACGTGTATCACAGGAAGTGGTCTACCTTAGTTTGAATGAAGTAATCAAAACTGCAGGGACGCTTTTGGACGCAGTGAGCTCGAGATAGCTCAGTGTTTAGGGCGCGAAATTACCGACCGGAATGTCCCTGTTTCGAATCCAACCCTGCATCTCGGTAATCAAAACTGCAGGGACGCTTTTGGACGCAGTGAGCTCGAGATAGCTCAGTGTTTAGGGCGCGAAATTACCGACCGGAATGTCCCTGTTTCGAATCCAACCTCTGCATCTCGACTGTCCCTGCCTAGGCTTGGGCAACTTGGCTGCATCTCAGCTCTCGTACTTCCTGCAGGTGTAGTGGCGCTAGGCGCTGAAAGGGCGTTACAGCTGAACGTATATTATTCTTATTCATTTTATTATAGGGTATTTATTTCCATCGTGTTACCTCCAGATAAAATGCGATCAAAAAAACAAAAATATAAAAATGCGAGCAAACGAAAACGGGATATGCCAGCTTATTTGTTTATTTGTATTTTCTGCATAATTGTCTGACAGTGTCTGAGGTCTGACTATACCAGTTCAGTTCAGTTCATCAGCATCAATGTTATGTCGGTTCTAGCTGCTGCAGTTGCGATCACCAAGACCTGGGTGAGCTTGGGAGATACAACCAAACATTGGATACAATGACATGTTCGGTTTGTTCGGCATTGAAGACGATAGCTTTGATTTACTCGATTGAGTAATGATTGCCAGTGCCACCAGCCATTTATGAGCTAAGTCACATGTCCCCATCCAAGAATGGGAAAGGTGTCGACCCGACAGTTTATTGCTTTGCCTTCTCATGCTTGGTTATCAGCTCCGATGCTATGTATGGTATTCGTGCTTGGGACAGTCTTTCTAGGTACGAAAGTTCTAGTTACCGATTTACCACAGTCCTATGGACCGTCTTATCGTTTCCAAGGCTATTCATCACAATGTTCTGTTGGCACATCGGTAGCATTATCTTCCGACTGTTAACATACTTGACCATAACCCATTTATGTTTACTGTACCTAGCGTTTTGTGGCTCTTTACGTATCCAGTTTTGCGTCCATTCGTCCAGTGTTAAATATACAGATATGCACCAACACAGTCTTTTCATCAGTTTACCAATTCCGGTCATCGTCACGTTTGAATCCCGTGTTTATTAGATCGTAGTTTGGTAATACTTGGGTGGTCTTCCCCTGTGATATGGACTGAGTGGAGTGAGCAGTATCGTAGTAACTCGACTTTTTGGGAGGTCGAATTGTGGAGATCAGCCCCTCAGTACATCAGCTTGGCAAGTTTTTTGACCAGGCGTAATTTTAAACTTCCACATACGTGCACTACCAGTCCTCATGTGCAAAGTAGTGATCGTGGCCTATGGTAATCTTTTTCCAGAATAGTACACAGCATAAGGCTGAGAAGTATCTTTCGAATGCAGAATAAGCAACTCATTTATCTTTGCTGACAACAATAGTGGATGATCGTCAGTGTAATAAGCAATGCGTACCTTTGCTGAGTAAAGTGCAGACGGAGTATGAAAGCTCGTTCTTGGTCAATTTAACACAGTAGAATAAATGAGAGTACATCCTCATAGGTGTCGTTCCTTTTAGCAATAATACTGTGTTTTCACTTTTGTGCGATATTCACTCATTATTTCACTCCTTTCTTGTAATGGTCTAAGCCCACCATGTTCGCTTTTCTAACCGCTTTCTAGCCCCTCCATACACAGCCCAACCGGCGGTCTATCCAACAGCTCCTGTAGGCTCAGCTTACCCACCTGGCCATGCTCCATGTCCACCTCCAGGTGTTACTCCCTACTCAGTACAAGCAGGCGGACCTCCACCGGCTGTAGGATTCGTTGTCCCAACTCCTGCCTATACTACCGTTACAGTCCCACAGGGTAGGTCACCTGCGTACCCACTCATTTCTCCTACTGATAAATGTTTTCATTTTCATTTAATTTGGTCCTCATCAAACAGTACCTGCTTGATTGGGAGTTCATTCAACCCCCAGTTATTAACATTAATGCGCCTCCTTCGAGCGAAGACCGTCTTTCAATGTAGACTGGCGATTAATGATGGAACGTGATGATGAACACGTCTGGTTAGGCTACGAAGATCCGGTGAGCTTGAACGTTCCATTGTTTGGCTGTGAACGTTCAAGTTTATCTCCAGATTACTCTGCGGGATAGTGGATGGATGTATTCTCAATACTTTCGGAAAGTGTAGTCTGGGTGTATCATAGTGCCTGTTAATACTGCCATTGTGTGCAACCTTGTCAACAACATTGTGAGTAGTGTCCTTGCGATATCTCGAATAACGTACGGACTGAAACATTAGGCGGCCTTTGTGCAATACATTCAGTTGAAGAATATCATAAACTAGAGATTCATTTGAGTCTCCAGTGAAAACCCAGTTGATATGCAAGTGAGTCTATTTCCTAATTCTTCATTTGAAAAGGGGGATCCAGAATGGGGGATTCAGCTGTCTTCGTAGGTCCAATCTCCTACTCCCAGAGAGCTATGCTTTCATAGGCCGCTGGTGGACACATTTTTGTAATTAAAAGTTTTATCCCGCATCGATGATGCTTTCTGTTGAGGGGAATCTCTGTTCAACCAAAGGCTCCCTTTGTGTTTTTGAATTATGGGTGTGTATATTTTGTCGAATAAATCTACTACTGCCTATCCACTAGCGGTTGCTTTTGTACTGGGATGGATCCTTTTCTCACTCTTATGGTTTTTAGGATAACTTGTCCAACCATATTTGTCATTGAGCCCCCTTGTGTCACTTTCACTGTGCTCGCGAATTTCAAGATAGATCTATAGCCTCATGTCGATTTTTTCTTAATGAATGAGTATATTAGAGTCCACTCAGGCTTTGCTTCCCTTCTTTATAGGCACTCAGAGTCCATGTGAGTTCGGTTACACCAACCACATGAATGGGTGATCTCTTCAATTGTCTCATTGGCTTGAATGCATTGATGCGCCACCCCTCTGATTTTTGTGAGCATTGCAAGTAAATTGAGAGGTGCATCATCATCATCATCGATAGCATGACATCAGTGTTCAACACTGATGCTTCACTGCCGAGCGTAGCGTCATTTCACGGGACATAGCTTCTTATCGAAGTAACTCGCCAAACACTTTTTTATCATTTCCTTTTAACTCGGTGCCTCTTGACTATTCCTCTGCAAGGATCTTCCATACAGTCATCCTGCCGTTGACCTAGGAATTTGTTATTTTTTGCATATCTTTCGGCCATTTTAAAAGACACTTCTTGACATTGAATGAAGAAATAATATCTCCCATCTTCTTGGTTCTCCCTTCCAGTTCGTCAGGATAAAAAATATGGTGGCGTACTTTTATCGTGATGTTCGTGAGCACTTGAGCCGTCGCACTTTGGTCGATGTAAACAAGATGAAACGAATATCTAGAATTAAGTGGCTCCGTCTACTAGCTTAGGCATAGTGCATTGACCGTTACTATTCGTATTTTTATTTGTAGGGTTTATGCTTTGGATAGATATCCATCCATAACCGAGGGCAAAATCCTAGGCAAATAGACATGAGGTCTTATTAAACTGCGAACTTATGGTAGGCGTCTTTTTGAGGTTTATTCTAACTGGACTTGACGACCCATCTCGGTTTGTCAGAAAAAGTCAAACAGTAACTGGGCATCGTTAGGGTCATTTGGACAATGCTCATGTGACAACCGTCGAGAACATCATCCTGAAGAGAATGAAAAACTAGGACGTATTGCATGAAACTACTGCTTGGAAATTAACTGTGCGGCGATTGTTGCACAGTAAGCGCGGCAATCCTCGAACAGCAAAAACATTCCAAGTTTTGCATGAGATGTATTTTATTCAGCTTTTCGCCCTAGTTAAACGGAATCAGTCTGTTCAATCTGATTAATTCCTGTTCAGAGATAGTCAACTGTATTCTGAGGGCGTCCCATCTGACTACGGCTAGGTACGTAGCCCAAGGACCAACACGAAATCATTTTCTTCCTTCAACTAAATAAAATGACCAACAGAAGTGGCTTCCTGAAACCGTCTGATGTCGTGTTACAGTAAACTAGGGACTTGGTCATTTGCATGTTTGTTCCAATTCGCTCTTATCAGTCCCAGTTTCTTGACGCCACTCCTACCAGTTTAGTATCGTAACTACCCAAACGCAATCATTATAATCATTGGTGTCATTGGCGCCCCAGACTTTATCGTGGAATGGGCTCAAAGTCAGCTGAAGCCTGCTCTATGTATATGCTAGTCCGCGGACCGTTTCGCCAAGCCAACTGCCGAAATGATTGATATATCTCCTACATGTGCCCTCCGAACAGTCAGTCTAGGCGAAATCCAGATCGACCTCATGGGCTTCGGGCGCGGGTCACATGGGTGAATTATCGATTGCCAATATCCCCGGAATGCCTATTGGATTCCAAATGAAGCTTTTATTCAATTTAGCTTCCCCCTGTACGCTTTTGGCGCTATGGAAAGCTCGCACACTCTACGGAGTTATGGGAGTCTATGTATTGTAGGTGAAACCAAACATTTCCTCTATGACCCGTTTCTAACTGACCCACATTGGTTACACAGCTTACGAACCGTCTGTTCGTAGGATTGAAGTAAGCGGGACATTTCAGGTTAGCTACAGGCTCCAATAAGACATTCCGGCACTAGCAAGTCGCCTCCAGGAGATACAGTTTGCCAAAACTGATTGACTCAAGATTCCTGTGAATGACAACCATCAGGGTAAACCGGACTGTTACTAAACCCTTGTACTCGTAAGAAGTTAGGTGACCCGGAACATGCGGTTGACTTTTTTGTTGCCATTCTAAATAAGGGAACACACTATTAGTTAGGAAAATTAACTAGCGTTGTTGTTCCATTAACGTGTGCTTCATCTTCACCGAGTTCGGGTATATGATACTCCAAACAGAAATAATTTACAGTGTAGTGTGAAAAACACATAGGTATCGTGAGCCAGACTTGTGCCTGTTGGCTTGTATCGCATGGTGACCCAAGTGACTTACGTGTTAATCCCGTCGGTATGGTCAATGCGATCGAAGTTCTTTTGCAACTGGTGCCTCAAGATCCGAGTTCACAGGTTTCGTCAGCATAAAATCAACTAGTCTATTAGAAGCCAAATTTGTGGTTACTTTGAGTCGTTCTTTCATTTAAGAAAATATCATACTCCATCATTCGGGTTGGTTCTTCGTTCGCTGCTTAATGCAGCCAGCGAATGCCAACGGATTAAATGACGGTAGAATTGAGGTCCTGAGTCTGAAGCATTCACTCGCCTTAGGTAACCCAAAACGTGGTACTGGTGACGCAAGGACTGGATGTCCGAACTTCCATGAGGAACCGCTAATGTGGTGTCGTTTTTCGATATAAGGTTGGATGTTTAGTTTATTGTCGCAATATTTGTTTGATATTCGTAGAATCACAATTTCGGCGAGGTAACCTTTAAAGGAAGTGCTTTGGCCACCTGAATAGTTTTTAAAATCCTGTGTTATCTATCCACCAGTTTGGTTCAGCAACCCAACTACCCTTATTCGTGATTTGATCCCACAGTTCGAATCACCCCAGTCAGTTGAATTGTGAAGTCAATATAGGTTCACACTTTTCAGTTATTGTTGGTGTAATTGTTAGCATCACGTACTTTGATGTACTCCGGAGAAGTACTTCCTTCGAAAGACGGCACATTCAGTCGAAGCGGACCATCATAAGCGAAAGATTAAGCTGGATTTGGGCACACCAATCACATCGCTCAAGCGTGAACACGTTCGTCCGTTCAGACGTGATTATTCAGCTACATCCATCTTACGCTGGTGGAATAGTGGTGCACGCTCGCCTTTCATGTCAGGTGTCCGGAGTTCAAGCTCCGGCACGACCATAGGATATTCACTTTTAATCAGCTCTAATAAGAGCAGAACTCGAGTTCAGTGCTTCCCCCCTTTGATGTGGACTCATCAGAATACTTACGCCAGCACAGGATGACTGTTCAAACGAGAGTGATATGAGTATGAGCAATACATATCCCGCAAACTGCACCTGTCTGAAACAATTCGTGTACAAATTACAAAGGTAACTTTATTGGGTTCAAATCGGCGTGTGATAGAAACTGTCCGTCTCATGGAATCCGCCATGTTTTTTCCTGATTGTGGAATACCAATTCGGATAGTTTCGTTTCTGCTAACCAATTGTTGCTTTTCATCTTACTCATTATGAGCCTTCTCTGGATGAACTGATCGTCGAATGAACTGGCGGTCACTCAATCTTCTGGATCGCCCTTCACATTTTGTTACCCTTATCTGACGTGGCCTTGATTGCTAATGAAATGCACCCGAATCCAAATGATTCAACTCTTTTACATTTTCAACAGGGATTTCATTCTATAGGCAGTCAGTCGATGCTGAAAAGCCGAGAAACACCGTACAGCTGTTCCATCCTTGTTGGGAATCATCAGCAGTGCGCACCTCACGAAACTCAGGTTTCAGCACAAATCGGCTTCACTGACAGGATGAAGTCTATTGAAAATGACAAAATCTCCCCAAACCACAACAACCTTTTACATCTGCCTGTCACTGTTTAAGATGGAGTTGGATGTCTGCTATGAGGAGTTGACGAGATTGACCCTTGTATGCTGACATTTTCAAGCCCTAGTAACTGAGTTTCACGTCAGAAACCGAACTCAGCGATACTCAATAAGACAGACAATATCGAAGTATAATGCCATCCTTATGCGCGCCCCTTTCAATGACCAGATCACCCACAACTTTCACGTATTCACACATGCACCAATGGCACCTGCCATGTTATGCCTAATAATTCACTTGCCTACTTTAGCTAATTCACAGAAAAATCACGTATTCACACATGCACCAATGGCACCTGCCATGTTATGCCTAATAATTCACTTGCCTACTTTAGCTAATTCCACAGAAAAAAACTGTGGGTATCAGGATTTAGGATTACCATCTTACCGCTGCCGAAGAACTGCAGTAAGAGCAGTTCTGCGCAAAGAGCAGAACAGATCATGAAACCAAATGTCAGTGAGAAATCAGCTGTTAGCTCAGGTGCAACGAATTGCAGACGTTTAGAGGTATCTTGAGCTGATTATCTTCATTCATTTCGATTGGTTTTAGGGTCCTCCGAGGAGTGTCAAGTTCTATTGCATGTGGACCCGAAAGTATTATCCTAATTGTTTCTTGATCAGGTGACTACTGGTGGGTTCGCCGATCTTCGCAATTAACTTGCAAACGTTTCGTCACCAATCGAAGTGACACCATGAGTACGCGGTTGGATGGTGATTCCTCCGTTACCTACTTGAATTTAAGTGGTTGTCAAAGACTAGCTGATATTTGTTGCTGTGATTGGTCATCAGTGAATGCACCCCAGCTGTCAATATCCCGATATTATCCCGGTTTAGTCATGTTAGCAGCGCATAAGCAAGTCATCTTATGACAGTCGAAACATCTGAAGATTCCTGTCATTACTATTATTCAAATCAGGATGAAGACAGTTGAGCGCTCTTATACCGTCCTGTGTGATAACCATTGTCTGAAAAACTGTGTTGTTTAGGAAACCCGTTGTATCGTTGATAACTTGCGAAGTATACGAGTCAGACGGCTTGTTCGCGTCTAGCTAGCTCTCTGACCAGAGTTCAATCTTCGGAAGTCCGACCCAGTAGACTCCAGCTTGTTTAGCAATAGCTGTTGAGATCAAACAAAACGGCTAACTGACGTGTACCGCCTCCCGATTCACAGTTTCTAGACACTAAACATTATTCGAGCACGTGCCATTTATACATCACTTAGACTAAGGTTCCCCTATATATTAAATTAGTCTATTTCATCTGGGGCTTACATGCGCGAATGGTCATTTTGATTCAGAACGGATACATTGATGTACGGAGAGATTATGGCGGCCTGCTCTAACCACGAATATATCCCGAAGGACCTATTCTTTGAGTCCCGTAAAACCTTACATTCGAGGAAGTTTTCTATATCCTGTTGGTGCGTTATGGCTCGCCCTTTTTAAATTTTTCACAACCTGGTTCCCTTTTTTCCTTCCCAGCTACAGTTTATGTACAGCAACCAACCGCCACTACCGTCACCGCCGTGCAATTCCATCGTCATCCAGTTACGATGACGTGTCCGCACTGCCGCTACTACGGGCCGACAAGGGTGCACACTGAGTCGGGATGTCTTGCTTGGGTGTTGTGCCTCGTTATGTGTTTCTTCGGGTAAATTGCTTTCTCTCTACCCCTCTTGAGTAGCTAAACTTGCCGATTTTACGTGCACACTTATCTAGTCCAGCACATTTCGATTTATACCTTAAATTCGAGGAAGTTTTCTATATCCTGTTGGTGTGTTATGGCTCGTCCTTTCAAAATTCATTCACACCTGGTTCCCTTTTTTCCTTCCCAGCTACAGTTTATGTACAGCAACCAACCGCCACTACCGTCACCGCCGTGCAATTCCATCGTCATCCAGTTACGATGACGTGTCCGCACTGCCGCTACTACGGGCCGACAAGGGTGCACACTGAGTCGGGATGTCTTGCTTGGGTGTTGTGCCTCGTTATGTGTTTCTTCGGGTAAATTGCTTTCTCTCTACCCCTCTTGAGTAGCTAAACTTGCCGATTTTACGTGCACACTTATCTAGTCCAGCACATTTCGATTTATACTGTGCTTACTCCGTCACAGGGACGTTGGCCACAGTAATCATCTAGTCAGTCCATTAACGCTGGAGACAAAGACGTTCAGACAATATTGAAAGCACCTTTCTATTCACGCATGGCAGTTGCCGAATCGACCCCTCTGTGATGTCGGCGAGCCCTTCCATCGATGTCTCTTGTTGCCACTTCAGTCCTTGGTTAAGAACAGTTTGTTAGGCAACTTTGTTTTACGATTTTTTTTCGAATGTTGCGCTGTGAGGTTCTCAGAACTTCCATATTTTATTTATCTGAGCTCGGGCTGATACTTAGCATAAAACACAAACTCTGTCTGAGTATACTCGTTGTGAGCTTCCTGTGGGCACATTAATTGCTCTTATCTGAGTGTTAGCTATTGTATTTCAGTTTCCATTGCCCCAGAGGGTTCTCCGATATCTACTGACCGAAATCGTATCACAGTCGCTGACTTGATTTCCGGTTCCTGTACACTTATTATGTTACGTTGTTGAATCTGCGTCGAGTTGAGGGAGCAACTCTGGCCACTTTGGTTGAGTTGAACGTTGCGCGTAAATCACTTTGTCAGCTTGGAGCAGTTTCATGTAAGTGTAAGTCATACTCAATAGTGACTCGACTAGGGGTTGTCCGTGAATGATACTCGGTATAGGGTTCCAGTACCACTAATGCTGTGGACGATCTAGAGGTCACGATACTCCAAATCAATCCCGACGGTCGAAAATCCCGTCTGTCTAATTGCCGGAGACCGGTTCCATGGTCTGATTATATACTTGGATATGTTTTTCTCGTCCTTCTAGGTGCGAAACTGAAATGCACAGTTGATATTAAACAATCTCCGTAGACATCGGGATTCAACACGATTTCTTTTTTAGTAACTTTAATTTGGCTTTTTGCATTTGAGTGATAAACTCTGATCAGAGTCATTAGCTCATCGACTAGGTACTCGGTTTTTCAGAATGGCACAACTCAGCCTGTAATCCAAGTCAGATGCAAACTCGGCGAAGCCGGTTGCATCAGGTCCCTGCAATTTGAAGAGATGTGCTGAAATCCGGTAAAGCATGAATTTTAGGCTGACATGATCTTTTCTATGCCTGAAGGCTCGCTAATTTGGTCTCATCCGCGGATCTTTCACGGATCGATTTACTACCACATATATTTTCTTAGACTTCCGGATGGTTCCCACAGGTTGTCTCGTCTTTATTGGGTACTAGGAGTAATACTAAGTTGCCGCCTGATAAAACATACCGGTACAACAGGTCGAGCAGTTAAGTCAAGCCAGTAAGAGTGCAATAGAACGAATTGTGAAGGAGCTACAGAATCACTGACGGAGAGACAGAATATTTCAGGATAAGTATTGTATTTTGGACTCTGTTTTTGTGTCGTGTGCTCAATTCATCCGATTTGGTTTGGTTTGAATGTTACAGGCTACCGTGTATGGCTGTCACAATGTTACTTTGTCATATGGAGCGATCAGATATCACTAGTTTATCCTTTAATGTTGCTTGGTGTCTTAAAGGGTTTTCTGTGTTTGCCTCGCACCCCTTCTTTGAGCATTCTGTCAACGATCTACAACTTCTCTATCTACATAGTGAGGTTTGCACTAAAAAAAGACCGGCTTCATCGCTTAAAAAGTCTAAGATACACCGTCCCTTGTAAATATGCGTTGAGCTGCAGACATCATTGCTGGTTTTAGGGCTGACACCAGTTTTTCTGCCATTTTAATATCCCACTTAATAATTCGCTGATTGCTTTCGGGTTGGTAGCCAGAGAGCACTTAATTCCGTCTATGGGGAGCCATCTTCTGACGTCAGCATAAGATGATGCGCTTTTTGATTACATTTGGGCTTACTGAGTTCTCAGCTGAGTGTAAAAGTGTGTTCTGCCTGAGTAGTGAACATTGTGCTTTGATCACAATGTTTTCGAGCACTTAAACAACAATGTTGAACAGTTTTTTAGATTCCGAGTGGTCGATGAAAACCAACCATCACTACGACAAACATAGTCGCTTGTTTCATTCTATTGATCCGTCCATTGCATCTGTGAATGGAAAGTGTGATTTCGCTGACAATGCGGTCGGTGCCTACAGGTTTGGCGGCTTTGCGAACACGTGACTGTGCATCGAATCACCTCACACTAAAAAAGATGTTTTTTTTTTCTCGAAAATGTGAAATGAATCACATTCCAAGGGCAGTTCCATTCAACCCCGTAGTCATAGCAACTGGTAGCTTTTCACAATCTAACACAAACCCTTTGGTTGGTGTTTCGAGGTTGGTGTTTCTATCTGAGATTGTATGCAGCGAGCATGGTCTTTAACAGCTTGATCGATCAAGTTCTCATTGATTCAATATATATCCTTTCTCATCCTTTAGAGGACGCAGCAATAACGTTAAGATGGTACATCCGAATCCGTCCCCGCAATTTTGCTTACTTCATGCTGTGGTACACGTCACCGAAATCCATCAAGCAATTTCTAACGTAATCCATCACCTAGCTCATCGATCTTTCGCCCCATTTATGATAGTGCATCCTCAGCCATGCGTGTTACATATCAAGTACATTTCTTTATTCTCAGGGAAGAACACATTTAAGGAGCCAAATATTTTCTTTTTTGTGGGGTTGGAGGCGTTTTCCGTCTCACGTAGAAGGGCGACTACTTCCCACACCCTGACTCGAGACAGCTCAGTACTTAAGTCGTGAACTTGCTGACCGGAAGGTCTCAGGTTCGAACCCACCCTTTGCATTTCGACTGCTCCTGTCTAGGCCTGGGTAACCTGCCGGTATCTAAGCCCTCGTTTTTCCTTCGGGTGACATGGCTGCTAAGTATCGAAAGCCTGTTACGGCTGAATGTTCATTATCATTTTTTTCTATTTATAATCGGCTTCTCGTATGCTTGCACGTAAATGAAGTCTTTTAGGTTTGAGATCCCCCTGTAATGGAAACAATGGAGCAAAATTAGAGGTTGAGTGTAGTATTTTCCAAACAGAGCGACGTGGTAACTCTTTTTAGGCTATCAGGAAATCGATTCACTGTGGGTCACAGTTCGTGTAAATGCAGTAATGCCGTCTGGTTAAGTTTCCATGAGAACTTTATCCTGGTCCTGTGGGTTTTGACCTGAATTTGATAGCTTTCAAGGGATCATTGCCATCTTTCAATGAAAACCACTCCAGATGTCTCACTGGCGCAAGATCCTCTCCAACGAAAGACCAGAATGCAAAATTCTTGTTTACACTAAGTAGATGTCTGGCAGTCACATTGAGATTCCCCAAGTGGTTATGAGCTTTAAGACATGATGTTCACTTGAATGGCACGTAACTGCCACATTCCATGTGCTCATACCGTTGATCTGTAGAGTGAACAACATTTGATTGGTATATTGAAGTTAACAGTTGAGTTGCTCCCTGGAAGACCTCACATTAAGTTAAGTCAAGGTTGGTCTACTTTTGTAGTTAGTCAGTCCGGAGTTTTCCACCCAGTGGTGGTGATTTGGAGTTATTTATCAGAAGCACTTTTTCTTGGGAAGGAACTGTACCTGGAAACAAAAAGTAACTGTTCGGTGGTAACACTCCTTTGGTGGCTTGCTGCTGTACCATCCTAAAGAAGCTGATATACTGCCAAGTATCCCAAGCCTGGATAGGAGCACTCCAGACGTGAAGGTTGGGTTTAACCACGGACCTTCCGGTAAGTTCGCTCCTTAACCGGTGAGCTGTCTCGAACTGCCTCCGAATTTATGCCGGAGCTTGGGGGCCAATACTAACTGCCGAATGTTGGAGCCATATACTTCTTGGGACCGCTTCACTGAAGAATCGTTGTTATCTTACCGCCTCGAACAGCGTACATTTTTAAGAATTACGGTATGTTACATGGGCGGTTCTAATCCAGCTTTCTCGTTGTCTCACCGAACCGTAATCTTCAGTCTATGGTGATTCTCGTGATAAGGTTGGCAATGTGTATGGCAATACAACCTATGCATTTTGCCACATTTGAAGACCCATTTGTGTTGCTCGCTTTTAAGAACGATTGTTTTTCGACTTCCCACTGGTTTTCCATCTGTGGAAGGTTACTTTACCATCATCACTTTTATGAATTACTGGTCAGATTTCTCATCTTATTCCCCTTTTTTCCCCATCAACAGCCTGTGGTTTGGTTGTTGTTTGATCCCATTCTGTTTGGACAGCACCAAAGATGCTACACACTACTGCGGCAGTTGCCACCGTCCGCTAGGTCGGTACGCGCCACTATGATGGGTGGTACGGTGAACCGATACAGACGGTAGAAAACGACAAATCAAGTTCATGGTATTCTTCCGTCTATCTGTTCTTCCCAGCACGCTCTGACCTCTTGAGTATCATTTATTTTTGTCCACCTTGTTTCGATTTTCAGCGAAACAGAAAACGAGTTTTTCTTGATCGGCCCAAAGACAACTACTAGTCATCTACCGTTTGATGCATTTGTTTATTGTTCCACCAATCGTGACGCTTCGCTGTCTCCTCGTATATGTCCACTTCCACCTTCTGCGTAATTTAGAAGTTTTTCGCATACGATTATTGAACCACGTGCCGTCTTTTTCAGTTTATCAGGAAAAGTGCTAGTTAAACTTATCGCATGCACGACCCGAAATGCATCTTTAGTCGCTGACTGATTTCTTGAAGCACTCGAATAAGAATTTACGCGTAGGATTCTGGGATCTTGAAGCTTGATTTGTGTCATCATTGTTCTGCAGGTTCCAACGCTTCACTTTTGGTTAGCACTCGTTTTCGGATCAAACTCGTTTTATTTGTTTGTACAGAATAACATAAATCCTTCTATGACGCAAACGCACTGACAGACTGGTGAAACGGGGACAAATGAATCAACAACTTGAACCGAATAAATCTAAATGTCCCCGAGCGCAAGGCAACAAAATAGTCATTGTCTAATGGGACAGAGTAGACATCATATGGTTTCAGGTGTTATCCCATCGCCGTGCAGAGCAGTGGATCCCCCACTGCCCCGACGTGGTAGTCGGGCTTGGGCGCTGCAATGATACCACAGACTACACTAGCTGAAAATTCGTTCGACAAGGTGAAATCATGTCAGGAAGGCCAAAGACGAGCAATCAGATCAACAGCAGCGAGACATCATACTACGAGTCTTCCTTTACTTGAAAGCAGCCTTTGACTCTTGACCGTCAGGCACTGGCAGGTTATAGAGCGAAGGTGTCCCCATAATTTCCTGACCCTTCTTAAGGCGCTACATGCCAACTCCTGCGGACGCGTGAAAACCTTTATGGAACTCTCTTCTGGGTTCACTAGATCATGTAGTGTCAGGCAAGGCTGTTCTTTTTCACCTTTCCTCTTCAAATTCGTCTTTGATACGATTATGGAACACTAAGAACCAGCCTCTATTGCCTCCGGGCATTCACAGGTACTCAAGTACTTGGACAACATAGCTCTTCTAAGATCTGACGCCAATGTAATTCAGATAACACTAAGGAATCAAAATAATTCTACTTCATGGTTTGGCATGCGTTTCACACCTACAAAGTATAAAGTGCTGCAACATGACTGAGTAGACTCGAACCCTAACCTCATACTTGCCGATGAACTGATCGGGGTAACAGACGGCTGCATCAGTCCCGGTGGTCTAGCCAAATATAACATCTCTATCTGACTTGGAAGGCCAGAGCAGCTTTTGTGTACCTGCATCATTTGAGGCGTAGGCCTGACAGCATATCCGTCTAGGATTGTGCTTACAATGCTGTGGTGTGCCCCATATTTTTATATGGGTCGGAAACTGGCCGTGCACGCTGAAGATGTCAAAGATTTTCAGCCTTGACCATCGATGTCTCGGAATCATAGTCCGAGTCCGGTGGGGACACTGGATCACTAATGCGGAAGTACGTCGATTGATTTTCGGAAAAAATATCTAGCAGGCGACAGGTGAGCTGGTCGGATCACACAGGTGGTGCTCCGTATGCCAGTCGACCAACTTCCTCAAAGAGCCCTTTTCACACAACCACGCGGAAGGCGGAAACCAACTAGGGAAAGTTAAACAATGACTCGTTAACGAGGGATGAAAGCCATTCCTGGCAGACGCAGTTGCGCTAGTCATTGTCGTTTCCCTGGATGTGGACCCCGAGACGGGGCACATGAATGGTTAGAGGCGTTGTCAGACATGGCTCAGTCACGTCCTCAGTAACGCTCATGCCTCCAAGCTGTTGCTCTTAACGCATAGCTTCTCTCCTGATCTCTTCAACGAAAGGTCCAGTGACACCTTATTTACATTTATTTATATCAGCTGCCGCATCCTGTGCGTAGCCGTCAACTCCTACCTCCCCAGATCATCAGCGAACGAAACTGGCAACTATAGTCGCTGTATGGTTTTTACATCTCATTACGATGGACTACCGAGGAGCCTGATCACACTGATGGTTCTGGGTAATTTCGATCTACTTATCGCGATAGTCTGGTTATGTCGATGGATTCCGAATTAGCGATGTAGACGTCTTGACAACAGGATAATGTTTTAGTCTCTAATCCGGGTTCACCTGAAATTCGTACTCAGGTCTTAACCTGAGTCTTCACATGAATAGGGCCTTACTTATTTACTTTACGATGTATTTCTTCCGGAGAATGGTGAATCGGCTCCGAAAATATCCGAATTGTTCCTGTCTATGCTGCAAGATTGGCATCAAGGTCTGAGCACAACTTAGTCCAGTTTATGTTTGACCCTGCAGACTGCCTGCTAGCCGAGTATCTCAACGTCTTAACTATAGACAGCCGGATCCTCAGTTGTCGTCCTGTTTGACAGCACCATTTTCAGCAGGGTTTTCCCGACGGAGAGATTTCGGACAGTTTGGAGTCTGATTTGCAGAGAAATTGTCCCAGCCACCGGTCACTGGGTCATTCCGGAGAGGCGTAGTATGTTACAACGATCCCGACACCACCACTGTATACGTTGTCGTTCCAACATACCTTGAGTTTTCTGCTTAGGCACCAGCCCTCAGGTACTTCGAGTTTTCGAAGTGCAACAGACAGAGACCAGGTCTCATGAGCATGTGTTTGTACGGTTCCGGCTGCGGCAGAGTACATGCTGAGCTTCGTCCGAAGGCTGATCTTCGAATGTTTCCGTAGAGCGGTGTGGAGGTGCCTGGATGTCTTTTTGGAATGGTCGATGAAAACGTCTATTTCTTTCGTTTTGTGAGGAGGAGCGTGGGATCTAAACATTTGAAGCTGTTGACTTGATTTATGAACTCTCGGTTAACATAGGGGGTTTGACTAGAAGTCCACGCATGTGGTGAAGAATTTCGTCTATCCACGGTTTATTTCGTCTGGCCAGCGAGAAGTAGTAATCAGCATGATCAATAACTGGCTGGATTTATTTTGGTCTCTACTCAGGACAGTGATATCATCGGCGTAATCTAGGTTCGTGGTCCAAACCTTCTGCCATCCTTGTACCCCAGTGAAGCCTCTGATACCAGTCAATCGCGTCATTGAAAGACATGAACGAAATTGGACAGTCTTGTCAAACACAGTGGTTTAAAGAAACCGTCATAGCCTATTTTCTTCCTGATTAGTAGTGCGTGATGCGATTCAACAGCTTATTTGGCACTTCAGCTTTCAAGGCAGCATAGAAGGACTCCCTATCGGCTGAGTCAAATACTGCACGAAACTCAACGAGACGGTCGTTGGTTGTTAGCATTTAGAGTCATGTTCCAAAACACTTCGTAGTGTGAACATTTCTTCTACACAACTTCGTTCTGTACGGAAGCTTATGACGTTAAAATCTATTGCTTCTCTGAGAGAGTGCAGTGGTGCTATGGCAAAGGTTGTGGTTGTTAGATCTATCAGGCTGATAACTCAAGCCGCACTGCTACCTCTTTTGGGTATCGGTAGCAGTGCAAATGTTCCCCAATCTACCGGCAACACTTCGGCTTCCATACAGAACCGAAAAGCTTGTGAGGAGGTTCGGCGAATCCCGACAAATGGGTCTTGTAGATTTCCACCGGGCTACTAGCTTCACTTAATAATAGGTAATCGTTCAGCTGCAACACCCTTCCGGTGCCTAGCCGCCACACCACCGGAAGGAAGCACGAGGGCTGGGGTACTGCGAGGTTGCCCAGGCCTAGACAGGAGAGGTCAAGATTGAGAGATCGGGTTCGAAACAAGGATCTAGTGATTTTTTGTTCTGTAGTAGCTCACTTAGCTTTGTTGATTCACCCGGGCTAGGGGCGTCTAAAGTGTCAGTGTACAGCGTAGAGGTTGTGGCTATAGTGAATAGTTGATGACTCGATGGGCGATCGGGCCGCAAGATGAAGGGTTCAGTCCATCTCTTAAGCTTTTTCTCACATTCCCTTATTAATTGGCTGTGGCCTTTCTGCTGGCCTGAATCGCGACAGATCAACCGGATAAGATGCGAGTAATCACTCATGTTTGGGGATGTATCCGTGCTGGTAGCCATTTCTAACTATATATGCATACGGTCTTTCTGGACTGAGCGAGCAGCCTGTCTACGTAAGCTGTAAAAATTGGGAATTTCACCCATGTGCGCTTGGTTAGGTTGATGAGAGTGATAGGGTGTCCTTCCGGAGACCAAACATTTGATGCGGCGGTCCGTTGTAGGGATTCGGTGGGGACGGGTCGAACTCGGGAAGTGGTAACTATTTAGTAAGCTGGCTAGCGATAGCTTTCGAGGATTGAAGACAACTTTCAAGCACTTCAAGGTTGCTCACGGTGGTCCCTTTTATAGGTCGTACTTTTATACCTGGCTTTTAAATAAGGTTTCAAACTTGAACAAACAAGCTTATGGAGTGAGACGCATTTTTTCGCGGAGCTGTGGTCTTCAACACGCGATGCCCATCTAGCTGCCATCATGGTGCAGTCTGTTTGGGAAGCATTGTGACCGGTATTTAAACGCCAGGTGAATAGGTGACTCTTTGGGTGCTGGAAGTGTGCACTGGAAAGTGGCAAAGTTGGCCAGTCGATCGCCGCAGTGTTCTTCCAAGCTGAAGTGTTCAAGAATGGGAGAAGTCGTGTTGGTTGAAACCCATATTCTCACGTTCCAGTCGCCTGCAACCATCAAGACATTGTGGTTTGGTCTCATCATTGGACCCAGGTGCCATTTTGTGGGGAATCCGATTGCCAGTCGAGAATCGACTACACCTTGATGGCACCACTGCCAGAGCTCCGTTAATCCTGCCGTAGATAGCACCATATTGGGGAAGGTATGGAATACGCGATTCACCAGATCCTTTCATCACT